TTTTTAGAACCTCTTTTGCTTTGGTGCTAGAGCTATTTATCGTGCGCTATACGATTTTTTGTTTATAATATGATGATATTAGCAAGTGAAGCATTAATGGTTTACCTTCCTCTTAGTATTTAGGAGTTTCGGAATATATCAATATGATAGCCTATGTTTTGAAAGCGTTAAGTAGAACTTTTCATTTGCTACATCACTTTACAATTTTGTCTAATCAATTTTGGGCTTCTCGAATACATCTCATGTCCTTAGCATCCCGTCAACTGAATCTAAGGTTAGAAGTGCAGTATCATCAGTATACAGTAGAGGAGACTGGGAGTTATAATACTTGCAATAAAGTAATTATTCTTTCGTTGCTCGAATTATTGCTGCTGTAAATAAAAGCCAGACATTAAAGAAGTGGAGAAGGAATCCTAAATTTTGTTAAAACTATACTGTCCTTTACATATCCTTTAGTAACTCTCTTCCATGTTAAGCAACCACCTTCCACGTACACTTCCATTGATCATAATGCTTTAATGTGATCCTAGTGCCGTAATTATGTTATATTAAAAACCAGTCTTTTTCAGAAGTATAGCCGATGTTCGAAAGAGTGTAAACTTGTCAGAGGTTTTGCCATGGCCAACGGGTATTTGACAACTGGCTGTCTACCTTATAATGACGTGGCCTGTCATATAGTTCAAGCAGAGACTTTTCTAAATTACTTCGTTTTTATCATTCTTTAGATTTTGGGTCATGGCTTTCTCTAATTTTGATAAATTGCACATATTTATCTTTAATTTGTAACGGTAATATTTTGCCTACCAAAGGGTCGATTAATACAGGGGGTAGAAAATTGAGGGAAGAAACTATTGGGGGTGAAGATAAGGCAAGCAAAATAAATGCTACTTATGCGAACGGCACTCAGGGTTTCGTAGGAGAGCTGGGGTCGTAGATAAGTAAAAGATAGGGGCATTGGAATAAGGCAACTACAAAAAAATGAAATAAATGGCTCTTGGGATAAACAAAATAAAAATAAACAAGAAACACCTCAAGGAATTTAATATAGGGCGCCACCTGAGGTGCCTAATTATGCCTATTACAACCACTAGTTGTAACTAGGGAAATAATTAGAAAAAAAATTTTAAACATAAAAGAACATATTTTTTTCAAATAAACTCAAAAAGTGTTAGCTCAAAAAAAAAAAATAAATAAAATGTTAAGAAAATAAAATTTAACTTTTATTTATGTGTCACCACAAACAGTTACATGGAGAAATACAAAATTCAAAAACTTACATGTGTCATCCATTAACAAACTCCATTGCTACAAAACTTACAAAATTGCATGGAGGTTAACCTTTAAAAAAAAAACAAAACAAATCAACATCAAAAATACTTAAACGAGCTGTCATAAATTAACATTAAATTTAAAAAAAAAACTAAACACAAATTGACAGCTTTACTCAAAACCTAAATTTACAATTTTAAATGTCAACGAAAGCAATTATTATTTTATAAAAAAAAATGTCTGTCTTTAGTTTAAAATTTGAACAAAATGTTACCTTCATTCACATGATCACACTTAAGTTTCTGAAACCATAACTGGAACCTGGAACTGAGGGCTCCACTCTCTCTGCATCACGAAAACCTCCATCTCCAAACTGCCAAAAGCCTTGGATAAAAGCAGGAACAAAGAAAAACAAAACGAGGATGTCCTCCAATCCTCACTCAAAACATTAATAATTGAAGCATTTACTGCCACAAAACCAATAACAAACTGCTACATATTCTTCATAACAAAAGACGAAAACAGAACACTTTACAAATTTGACATGAATTTGGACATAACGCTGAACCGCCTTTGAAAGCTGCTCCAACGAGAGTGACGAAATTCTATTAAAATTGAACGCATACGTACAAACGCTGACATAACAAGACACCACGAAACGACGTACATATCTTTTTGCGACGCATTAAAATTGCGGCTTCTGATAAAACAAGAAATTGCCGAGGAAGTTAAAATAAATAAACAACTCTAAAATGGTTTATTTCAACTTGGCCGACCTAAGAAAAAAATGAAAAGATATTTGCGTTTAAATACATACGAAATATTTTTAGATCTATCAAAAATATATAAGGTGATTTTAATATTGCGTATACGAGGGACTTCAATATACTTCAAGAATCAATGAAATTGAAAATGCTACAAATTTTATTTTTTACTATTTGATTCCACTATAAATCGTAGTTATTTTGGATATATTTTTTAATTGTATAGTTAACATTGAAATACCCTTTACGAGAAAATCTAAGATAAGGCTACAACCACGACTCTTTTTCATGGCCGTTTTTTAAACTCTGTCAGAATATAATCTAAAGAATACAACGAATCAGAGGAACACGATTTAAATTTCTACTTATTTATCCTTCTTGCCTTATATACGTAGGTAAATTCTTTCCTTATCTACTGCTGGATATAGATCTTCTTTCATAATTTTCTATCTGTTTTGATCTTGTGCCTCTTGTATCCAATTTCTAAGGCAAAGTTTTAGGTCGTCAGTCCACCATTCCAGTATCCGCTTTATCCATCTGTTATTTGTCATTCGAGCCACGTGGCCTGCCCAGTTCCACTTCAGTGTTGCTATTCTCTCTACGGCATCGTCCACTCGTGATCTTCGTCGTAGCTAGTAGTCGTAGTTCAACTTTCTGAAGGCTACTCCAGTCGGTCTTATACGACGGGGAAGCTCAACGGTTTGGTTATCTTTTTCTATATGTATCTCGTGTCCTAGATATTTATAGGCTATTACCTGGATTACTTAGAAAACCTACAAGTTCTTATGAACAAAATCACGTATTACAGTCAATAATATGAACTCAATCTAAATGTTAAGTAGACAAAGCTTATGATAATTAGCAAGAAAAAAATAACAGAAGGTCAATTCTACGTCAACCAATCCCTGTAGAAAGAGTGACACACTACAACTACCTCGGCACCATAATAAATTAAGAATGGACCAACAACCAGGAGATTAGAGCACACATCGCAAAAGCTAGATCCACCTTCAATCGGAAGGGGCCTTCTTTAAGAGTCACAATCTCTGTCTTGATACAAAAGTATCTGTTTATGCTTATCATTATCATCCAGTCGTCTACATCCAAAGTTGAACATAGGCCTCCCCAGTTTCTTAAAGTTCTGTCGATCTTAAGCTTCCTGCAGAAAATTTGTGTTTGTGTTATGCTCATAATAATAAGTCAAACTTTGTTCTTCCGTTTTGAGGATGACAGCGTTTATAAAATTATTTTCATTTCTATTTACTCTTCTTCTTTTTTTGGTCTTCTTATTGCCTTTTTTATTTTTCCTTCCTTTGCTTCATCCCGTCTTCTAATTTTTTTATTATCTGTATATTTGTCACTTAACTATAATTATTTCTCCAATTCTATTTTTTCTTCTCTCATATAATTTTCTATTGCGTAGTATGTAATAAAACTTATATAAGGATTATGCAATGTTAGAACATAAACACAGTCAGAGATGTATTCTACAAATAAAAAATTTAAATGCGAATTAATTTGCGTTTAATGGTACTTTAAACTACCGGTTTCCCTTTCGTTATCAGTATTCCTTATTAACAGTGAACACAAAAGCCAGTTGTTCTCCGGTGGTAGATTTAATTATTAAATTAGGAATCGCTACACCCTATTAGTACAAAACGCTTCGTTGTATGTACACAAACCACCTGCAAAAAGTGACTTAATGAAATCGGCAGCGAAAATGTCTTGTTTAAAAAGCAAAAAACACATGTCGTCGCTTTAGAGTCTTAATGTACTGCTGGCAGCTAAAATAAATGGGGGCATAAAAGAAAGGGAATTTTGTCACAGAGTAGTTGTAAGAAGGTACCACCTGTTGACTTTGAGGAAATATGTACCTACTTGTCGCGTCGTGGAGAATTTGTAGCTCTTGGCTAAGACTGGCGTTACGCATATTTACATTTTGATGATAACAATTGGTGTAAACAAAATAAAAAGCGTATCAAGATCTAAAAATAAATTTACAAACTGATTCGGGTTTCGTTATCGGATAAAAAAAACCGAAATTGTTAGTTTTGTAAAAAAAAGTCCATAACTATTTTTCTTCTACGCTATTAATTTCTCTCCAAATTTCACGGTTTACTGTATTTTTATTTTGAAACGAAATTAGAAATTTTAATATATATCTAAGACGATAAAATTATGTCACTATTTTTTATTGGAAATCTAAGGGCATCTTTAAAATTCCGAGATTCAATGTCTACTTTACCAAAAGGGTCTTTATTAAAAAAAAAATGGTAGCATGTCAAGAAACAATTATTACAATAATATTTAATGACAATTTAATAAAAATTAACGAGAACTAATGAGTTTATTTATTTATTTCAGTGTCATCATCGTCACCCGCTATCCCCAATTCAGTATCTGCCCCATCGTCGGCGTCAATACCGACGTCCCTCGGTCCTGCTGCTCTTCGGGAGTTGTACGGTAATAGCGCAGCGACTCCTGGTCATCCCTTAGCATCTTTAGTATCTCAACAACGATTCCTGGAATTATCCAGGTTCGGACTAAGGCATTATGACTTAGCGCAGCATATGCTTACTCAACAGGGAGCAGTGACGAAGTTGTTGGGTAAGTTTATATCATAACAAGAAATTTTAAAAATAACTTCTATGCAAAAACTTCTAACTAATTTCTATAATATTCTATGTAAAACCATGGATTATGTAAATGACTATACAATTAATTCAATTTAAAAAGATTATAATCAGATCTGAGTACACATCAGTAATTTCAAAAGTTCATACACAGTTAAAAATGTATTGTTACTTTATTATTTCTAAAGTTTCTTACAGTTATCGTGAAAGAATAGCACTATGACATTTTATTTCAATCTGGTTCTCTTTACTTGATCATTTTAGAAATTTATTCATTGGGTTTCTCGCTTTTTAACTTACATAATTTTCGGTTTTGCTAGTCACCTTATAGGCGTTATAATAATGAAGAGGTTCCATGAAGTTTTGTAAAAATGCAAATCTTCGTCTATAAGTGCCGTCTCCCAATCGGAATTTTGATATCATCATTACTAACTTTACTTTATCTACTGCTACTCTGAACACTTCTATAGAACTGCATTTAAACCAATCCCTTAAATTCTTCAACCATGACACTTGTCTTCTTCCTATACTCCTTCCTCCTCTTATCTTTCCCTGTATATTATCAGCCTTAGAAGTTCATATCGCTGTCCCCTCAATACGTGTCCCAGATATTGTAACTTTCTCATTTTTAGTGTGTTTATTATTTCGCATTCTTTACCCATTTCTCGCAATACTTCAGTGTTAGTTTTCTTGTATGTCCATGCTATTCTAAGCATCGTCCTGTAACACCCCATTTTAAAGGACTGTAACTTATTTATGTGTTCTTGCTTCAATGTCCAGCTTTTAAGTCCGTATTGCAGTATCGAAAACACTTAGCATCTTAGTGCTCTTACTCTCAGTTTTTTCGCACTCTCAGCATTTTTTGCTATTTCTATCCTGGCTCTTATTTCTGTTGTTTAATCATTATTGTCTGAAATCGAGGCTCCTAGGTATTTGTATTTATCAACCCTTTCTATCGGTACATTTTCCAAATGTATGCTTGTTGGTTATTTTTGTTTTCCTTTTTATCAACATGTATTTGGTCTTTTTTATATTCATTTTAGTCCATATTTTTCACAGAAACTGTTTGATTTGTTTAGTAGTAATTGAAGTTGTTCCGCAGAGCTTGCCCTAATCACGGTGTCATCTGCATATCTTATATTGTTAATAGATCTTCCGTTAATTAATATTTCTTCACTTTGAGATAGTAATGCTTCTTCAAAAATGACTTCGTTATATACATTAAATAGTAATGGGGACATAATACATCCCTGCCTAACTCCTCTCCTGATTTCAATTTATGTACTGAGTTCGTTATCTATTACGATTTATGCTCTTTTATTCCAGTAGAGGTTTGTTATTATTCGTAAGTCCCTATGGTCTATGTTATTTGTCTTTAGAATTTGGACTAATTTTATGCAAATAAAAAATTCAAATAATAAATGAAATCTACGTATATACTATTAAGATGGTCTCCAAACATGAAATAGGCATCTTTGGTTTTTTAAAAGGTTGGTTTAAGAGATTTTACTTCTTCTAATAAAATATAAAATAAAATGCAAATGAGCTGTGTTTTAAAAATTGTTCTAAAAAATCTGTAACGAAATATATTAAGTATTTTGGTAATTTAGGATAAAAATGATTGATATATTTAACCCTAAAAACTGTGTCATTCAAAAAACTGTAGACATCTGTTACTCACACGAAAAAACTTACTGTGTCATTACAAGTTTATCAAGATCGAAGGAATGCTCAAAAGGTGTTCGAAAAATCAGCATAACTGAACGCACCGCGTCGACCGATAAAAATCATTTCGAAGCAATAATCATACCAAAACTGGTCGGTGGCTAAAATATCACCAAAACGATGGGTTTTGTTGTCCAAAGGGCAAAAACGTCCGACCATAAATTCAAACTTAATTGTTGGTGAAAAGCAACCACGATTTATAAGGTCTGGTTATGAGAATTTATGACTTTAATTCTTAATAAATGATAGGATTTGAATGTAATCCAAAGATTTGTTATAGGTTTTAATTGCATATCGAGGAGCTCGATTAAGATCTTCGTTTTTTACGGGTGCTCTTCGATAACCATCGACTTTTTAATCACTGACATTAAGCGAGCGAGAATTATTCTTCTCAAAGTGGTAATTAGATGAAGTTCGAGCTACTCGACAGTATTCGTTTCTTCTTTTTTTCTAGCGCAATCGTTCATGCAAATGAATTATTATGAAATGGTCTATTTGGACAGGAAGACACTAGCTTTAGAACTGTATTTTTAAATGAATTATTGTATAATTATAAATGATCTGTATTAACGACTTCCTCCTTTGACTGTCGGTTATTTGTTTTCTAAAAAACCCTATTGTGAGATTCTCTTTTTTCATGTAGTTTTTGAAGCTTTTTTCTTCTAGCATTTAACCACAATTATATAACTGTCTAATACCTATAAAACGTGCATTATATTATAGTCGTGAATTCAATCGGAAGCCATTTTCAAAGTTTTTAAAATATGTATATATATGTTTATAATGGATTAATCCAACGACGAATTCAGCAAATAAAAATAGACATGATTACGGATTTAAAATTTGGAACCTGGAATGTGCGAATCCTTTTAAAGGCAGGAGCTATGATCAGTATGACAGAAGAAATTAAAAAGTAAGGGGTTAAAAAAATGGCATTGTAGGAAATCAAATGGAAGAGCCAGGAAGAAATTCGTAAAAATAAGTTCTTACTATACTACTGCGGGAATGAAATCAGACAAGGTGAAAGAAGAGTAGGGTTTAAAGTACCAAAAGACTGCGAAAACCCATTATCGCATTTACACCAATATCAGACAGAATTTGCACCATAATACTTAAAGGTAAACGCATAACGTGACAATGGTTAATGTATATGCACCAACGGAAGAGGCTGATGAAGACAAGGTTGACAGATTCTATGGATAATTTCAGTGAAAAATTGCCAAATTAAAAAAATGGAGTGTTGAAGGATTGAAAAGTCCAACAAAGACACAATAATATCAAAATACTCTCCAAATAAAACTCAACGGAATCAGAGAGGAAGATACCGCAGAGAAAGAACGGTAACAATAATAATAACAGAATCTGCGGAGGAAACTGTCGGAGAATCCAAAAGGCAAAGAAATGCGAAATGGCATGATGATGAATGCAGAACTGTAGTAGAGGAAAAAAGGTAAGCTCAGCTTAACCTACTTCAAAGAAACACAAAAAGAAGCAGAGAAATTTATAACGAAAAGGGAATACAAGAGACTAGAATATGCAGAAAATAAAAAAAAGGCTTTGAAAAAAACAAGTACAAGAAATCTTACAACATAACAATAAACAATGTAAAAAAGTTTTCGCTGTAAGATACCTGTGTGAGGGCTGCGGTGATCTTTCTACTGTGCCAACTGTACTTCAGTTTGGCTACTTGAACCCTTAATATAAATGGTTTTTGGGGGAGTTTCATCTTCGATGATGTGGACTTCAGATAAAGAAAAGTCCAGGTCAGAAAATACTTCTGAAGTGAATGGCAAATGCCACATTTTTGAAACCCAAACTTGATATTTTGATAGGTGAAACTATTTTCAAGGCTAGTTTTCACCAAATCGGGTATGTCATGTTGGGTTACTCTTCGAGCTGGAAAATTCTTATGAAAAGTGTTCAATGCAATTTCAAACGCCCCTTAATCAGATAACATAATGACGTCATTTTCTCTGTGATGTTTGAATGGTTGAACTATTTTAATAAATAATTTTAGCCTTCCATGAAAGATGTCTGCATTGATCCAAACACCAAACATCACTGCACCAAGCGGTGCTACCCACTGGTCCAGACTCTAACATTCTCTCTTATACTTTCTTTTCTTTGTGAAAATAAAGGCTGGCAGAATAAAACTATAAGCGCCATTGATGCAACAAATTATTGTGGATAGTTCACTTCTTTTAGCAGAACTTATTAATTCTACTTGTTTTTTAAAATTGCTGCAACAAGCCTTAATGGATTAGAAGATTATATTTTTACACCAGACTTATCTATGTTGTATAAGCACGTTTAAGTTTTATAATAAATTGTATTTTTTATATAGTTTATGACAGATTTTCAAAAAAATCTTCAACTTTTCGTCTAGGCTGCATATCGCTATACTGGTTGTATCTAGCAATCTAAACAATTATTCAGGATTTTAAACATAAACCCGTCAATTTAGGCTTTTCCTGCATGGTTGTTCTTAAATGGACGTGCTTCATTATTTTTCACTGCGAGCTGGAATGCAAGTTTTTGAACAGGATTTCGTGTGAGCCATAAAACTTGGAATCAATTTTTTGGCATATTTCGACACAACTATTTTTGTTGATTTTTACTTTAATGATCCAAAGGTGTCATGTATCCAAAGGAATATTGTAGTTCAAGTTTTGAAGCTTTTGAAATGCTCTGAAAACTCCAGCGAGGCAAAAGGATTGAAAATACTTTTTCTGCGTTTTAACACATACAAGGTGATTTCAATACATACAAGGTGATTTAAAATGCTACAAGCTACGAAGTGCTCCGCTATTTACGTTATGCCCTCCATTTACTACAGGTTGATTGTAGACTTAAAAGTGAGAGGTTAACTGAAGGCATCCAAATTGACGGGATCATGCTGACTGTAGGCTTCAAATTGAGAGAATGGCTGAGGACATTTTAATTAACGGCCCCATGTTAACTGAAAGCTTTTAACTAAGAAGTTGATTAATAATATTTACATTGATATCATCAATGACCGTATAATTAAAGATTCTCTTTAAATATACCTCCTCTGTTCAATTTGTTTGGTTCAATTTGACATTTAACACTGATGACCAAAATTGTCAATAAACAAAAAATCAGATGTTCGTAGTTCACATTTCTTTCCTAGGTGGCGTAGTTACTCTACCGGACAGCAGTGTGACTTGTTGTCACAGATATATTAATTTAAGAGAAATTATCGTGTTTCTACCTATAATAGTTATATGTTTATGTAATGTATATGTAATAGTTATAATCTCAGCAAATCGGCCAGTAAGCAATAAAACCCTATTTGTTTTAGGGAATTTCGCCAACATATCTAAATGACACTTGATTTTGACATATTTAGGAGTTATGGAAACTGCAATGTATTATATTTTTATGGAGTGAAGTCTGACATTGAACATTTTTTAGTGAATAAATTAAAGAAAAAAAGTCAGCATGATTGATATTGTAAGATGGAAAGATGCAATTAATATGAGAGAAATGGGAAAGAATGAGGAGCATGTTAAATTGATCTATAAACTGCAATTGTTGGTATGTAGTTAGCTATTGTAAGACTGATATTCAGAAATAGAATGAAAGTGTAGTTACTAAAATATTAAGTAATTTTTTTTAAGGTTAAGATCCATCATGTCATATACAAGATAGACTGATCATTGCAATACAAGATAGACTGATCATTGCAATACCAGCCCGTTCCTCCAGTGTGACAAAGCAAACTGATACAAAAAAGTCTCTGCATCTCTTTCTAATTTGCCAGGTTTTTCTACCAAGTGACGTAAATGACCAACGAGAAGGTCACGCGGTCGTTAAACCCGTCCCATTAGACAGAGATGCAGGGACTGCATTGCGTCAGTTTACTTTGTCGCACTGGGGGAATGCAACTGTATTGCAGCAGTCAGTCTATCTTGTATTATATGTCTATAGTCATATATAGTCATGTGCATGTCATATGTTACTTAGAATAGTAGATCCTAATCTCTAAAAAACAAACACTTAACCTTTTAGTTACTTTACCTACAATCTTATTTCATTTCTGAATATCAGTCTTACAGTAACTAATTCATCGTCATCATCATTATCATCATCATCATCATCCAGCCTTTATAAATATGGTAATATGCATTGGTCAAATACTTTTCTTTTGAGGCTAATTGGTATGTTGGCCCACAGTGTGTCTCGCAGTTTTCCAAAGGCTGTCCCCGCTAAAGTAATTCGTCTTTGGATTTCGCATATTTGGTTATTCCTACTGATTCTGAGTTCGTGACCCAAATACGTATACTTCTCCACCAGTTCTATCACTTTGTTTTAAATAGGTAAATGGTTATTGGGACATGTGAAATTATATCCACAGTAAAACAGCACAAGCTAGAATATCTTGGACATATAATGCGAAACGACCATAGATATAACCTGCTGCAACTTATATTACAGGAATAGGTCTACGAAAAGAGGGGACTAGGAAGAAGAAGAATATTATGGCTCGCGAATT